ACCAGCAAAATGAAGCAACCTACTTGTTCACCATCAGCAACGACACTGCAACTCGTCATGCTCTCTCTTTTCTAATGCCTCAATCCTCAGGCCCCCTCTTCTCCTCCTCCCGTTTCTCGTACTTGTGTTAAGAGGAAGGCCAACAGTGAAGAAAACGCCAACAATGTGATCATTCAGGAATAAGTTTGAGGACAATCACAAAAATAGAGGAGGCACTGAGTGGAATGTTTGCATCACAAGGGCCACGGCAAGGAGAGGAGAGAGTAGCCGCTTCACTGTTGTGACACGACAACAAAGAAAAACGGAGATCAAAAGAAAGAGGGGGAAAGAGAGAGGACGAGAGAGGTGTGGGGAGGATGTTGAGGAGGAAACTGACAGCAATGAAACCAAGGAGGTGGCCACTACAACTCTGCAACAAACCAGGACCACGAAAAAAATAGGGAACAACTGCAATCCTGGGACACGGTAACCAAGACACTGCAGTTGCAACAGAAACACAAGGAGAAAAGCACGGACAGGCAGATCACAATGCACAGGGGGAGGAAGAGATCAAGGGCAGCAGGCATGATAGCCAGCAACCACAGATCCAGCAAAACGAAAGGAGAAAATGAGGTAGAACCTCGCAGGTGATACGTTGACGACATCCTCTTCCTTCTCTCTCTCTCTCTCTCTCTCTCTCTCTCTCTCTCTCTCTCTCTCTCTCTCTCTCTCTCTCTCTCTCTCTCTCTCNCACACACACACACACACACACACACACACACACACACACACACACACACACACACACACACAGAGCAGAGACAGGTGGAGGATGGACCCATCTGAAGTACCAGAATGGACACGCGGCAATACCAAAAAACACCTCGGTAGTACCAACTACTTGCAGGACGAGGCCCGTGCGCTGGAAAATGCCTTTGGCTGGCACAAAAACAAGCTGGACTGGTGCTGAAAAAATGTACCTGGTAGCCAAAGGTCCAGGGTTCAAGCCTTGGCAACTTACAACAGTCATCCAGATCCATTTTGCATGGGGGGCTGAGATGTATTTCGATCCTCGAAACATTTCCCCTGAGCTTCCCCACATTACCCCCCCCCATGACAGGTGAAATTAGACGAGGGTTTTAGTCTGTCACCGATGTGCACCATTCATTCATGGATGTCAAGAGGCTGGTTGCTGCGGCACACATACTTTTAGAGGTCCGGAGAAACATGCTATAGCAAAGAACAGCACACAGGTGGAGGAGGAAGCTCTGCCTCAGAAGTTCCTTTCCTCGGCCCAGTCCATTGATCGAGCCATATTCACACAACAGCACCATGCACCGAAAAAGGCACTCACTCACTTTAGCATCAAGTGGAGTGTCTCTTCCTTCTTTTTTTTTTCAGAATGACTGAGTAAATTTATACAATTCAGGCCCGTCAGGATTAGAACTCAGGTCTGTATTTCAACAGTTCAGGTCAGGGGGGGTGTACCAACTGAGCTAGGCTCGTTGGTGAAGTTCTCTCTCTCTCTCTCTCTCTCTCTCTCTCTCTCTCTCTCTCTCTCTCTCTCTCTCTCTCTCTCTCTCTCTCTCTCTCTCTCTTCTGATGAAGACACTTTTCCATTCTGATCAATTTACAGCACCACAGACAGAGGTCGGTTACCGCGCAATAAATTACTAATAGCACATTGTTACTGTAAGCTAGGCTCGTAGGTGAAGTACTCTCTCTCTCTCTCTTCTGATGAAGTCAGCTTTCCATTCTGGTCAATTTACCACACCACAGAACAGAAGTCGGTTACCGCGCAGTAAATGACTTGTAGCACATTGTTACTGTCACATATCAAATAACAATGCATGGCGCATTTCTTGACAACTCAGTTATTCATACTGTTCAACCTTAGCGGGATTCACTTTCAGTTATTGTTTGCCGATACACACGTGCATTTTCTTGATAACTCAGTGTATTGCATTCAACTGTGGCAAGTTCACTTTTCAGTTCACGTTGGCAAGGGGGCATACCCTTCAGTATTTCTGACCTTCTATCGCAGTAAGTGGGGAAAACACAGGACGCGGAGAATGGAAAAAACTCTGCCCCAGAACTTCTCCATCCTGGTTTACATACAGTGGTGGATCCACAGCGCAGCACGATGTGGAGTCAAATCGACTCGCTCTCTAGGCTACGGGTCCCGGGCAGACTGGACCCATTGGCCTTCCTGGGCAGCCTGGACGGCCGGTCAAAGAGGCCTGGGAACGTCCGGTCAAACAGGCATGGGCAGCCTGGACGGCCGCGTGACTCGGTCCAGATAAAACTCGCCCGTGACCCCAGGAGGTGCATGCAGGCTGCCTAGGCCTGTTTGACCGGCTGTTCGGGTCATGGGCAGCCTGGACGGCCATGCAACTGGGTCTGGAGAAAACTCTGCCCGGGACCCCAAGAGCTACAACGTCCAGGCTGCCTAGGCCTGTTTGACCGGCCACGCAACTGGGTCTGGAAAAAAACTCTGCCTCCAGACCCAGTTGCACAGCCGGTCAAACAGGCCGCGGCCGCCTGGACACGCCTCCTGGGGTCCTGGGCAGCCTGGACCCCCTTCCTGCCCAGGTCACCCGGGCATTTCTGCGCCCACTACCAAGCTGTGCCCCAATCCGGCCTTATCTTTCAGTTCGGCGATATCTCACCTTCCCGGTTCTAAAGGGCATATATCGTCAAACAGAGCTGCCCGGTAAACCGAACCGTAAGGCAGAGAGGGAGAAGAGGACGAGGACATATATATATATTGAGTTTAAAAGGGTTTGAACTTTCAGGGGTGTCCCAAATGTTAATTTTTCTGTTTCATTTTTTCCAATTTAACAAGGATTTTGAAGTACATCCTAGCGCCACGTTTTTTCACTTGCGCAATTCTGCACCTTTTTTTTTTGTGCAGACTTCTTTTGAAAACGTTTTTTCTCTTTTCTTCTTGTGCTGGGACTGCCCATGACCTTGACTGAGACCTGGGCCAGACCTGGCCTGGTTCGGCCACCTGGGCATCCACGAAACTACAGCAAAGAACGGCACAATACAAAAGGTACACTACTCGACATATCAACGGCATCATTACCCTTCAGTGCTACCCATCCATCATCTCCCTCTCCCGCGAAAGAGGCTCCCTTCCTTGAAATTCAAGCAAGAGGCTGCCACCCTCTTCCGTGGAATCGGGGCAGATAGACAGCACACAACTGCCGGAGAAGGATACGGCAGCTCAGTGGACTACGAACGACAAGTCCAGGCCTCCAATCCTCTCCTCTCCTCCCTACAATGAAAGATATTAGGGCCCACTGTTGTCTTTTGATTCATACGACAGAGAATCGGTGTATATGGGCACATACATTACCTGCCAAACCAGTTCATTAAGTCTTTTGGACAGCACAGAGCACTACATTACCTGCCAAACCAGTTCATTAAGTCTTTTGGACAGCACAGAGCACCGCACAATGTACTCCGCATACTTGAGAGAAGAGAGGATCTTCAAGATCAAAGAGTCCGGGAGTTGGTCCATGACCACAGATCCTCCCCCTCTGGCAGCCCTACGACGTCTTCAAACTCCTCTTTCGACTCCTCCTGGCTTCTTCCACTCTTTTGCGACGTGCCCAGCATGACCAATCACCGGAAGAAAGGCTTAACCCTAAACCCAGATGCCGTCCTCGACTCCTCGCGCCCACAGCTGACAATAATTCACACCATCCCTTCAAAAATTGGTCATGCTTGACCCCTCAAACTTGACCCCTCAAAAATTGACGACATCGAATCATGGTCCAGTTCCTGCGACGATGATCAAAGCCAGCCGTTGATCCTGCGACGATGATCAAAGCCAGCCGTTGATTCTTCTCACTTTGTGCGGTTGCCTTCGATAGGCCAAAGAAAATCCATCCATGCTGCTCCCCAAATCATTTCCCATGCGCATGAAACCGGCAATCATCTCCACCTCGGGATATTCTATCTTGGGAACGACACGATCAGCTCTCTGCCCTCCTGGTACATTAAACATCGACAAGTTGAGCGAACAGAAAACAGTTTAGAGATCGTTCTTATACACAGGGAAAGGTGCAATACGTAGAGTCCTATATTCGTCATCTTACAGAGACAATGAATCAAGCAATTAATGCACTCCAGTGATGATAAAGATGTCCTTACCGATCCCGATCCTCTACGCACACATTATTTTCCCCCTCCCTTAGCTCTTTTCCACTATCCCCTGGTTTCCCCAAATCATATCCACACTCCTGCACTAGGCTACCAGAGTGGCTCGGGCCCACTTGCCCGGCCGGCCGAAAAAGAACAAATAAAATTAAAAATAAACATTATGTTTTTTTTTCGGACTTTTTTTCGGACTTTTTTTCGGACTTTTTTTCGGACTTTTTCTTCTTTTTTTTTTTTGCTGGGACCTTCCCTGGTCCTTGCACGGCCGGGCTCCCCGGGAAAACAGGGTGACCCGGGCGGCCCGGCTGGTAGCCTAGCTCCTGCACAGGCTAGGATGCTGGTCCGATTAGCTTTTTTTTCTTTTTCTTTTTTTTCGATTAGCTTTTTCTGTTCCTTACTAAGCAAAATGCAAAACCAAAATAGTTTAGTCCACCATTTTGCTAACCCTCCAAGGAGACAAAACAAGTCCACATCGTCTCAAATGACAGTTTGCGACCCAGGGGAAGGTCCTGGAACTACTATCGCTATCATGATATCATCACTTCCACCTGCTCCGTTGAAGTTGGCATGGACTGCAGTTTGTAATCATATACCTGGATAATCAAATCTATGGATGCTGACGACAAGAAGCTGAGGTGCCAAAGGGCCTCGCTCCACTACTCTCGATCGAAATGTGCAAAACGAGAGTGAATCTTCAGCTAGAACATGGGAAGACACACCGCAATGATTTTTGCCTTTTGTGGCTGTCGAGAGCAGTGGAGCGAGGCCCAAAGTTGCAGACAATCCATGGCACTTCACCCTTGCATCATTTGCATGAGTATAAAGGGTAAACTGAGAATGGTCCTTCGCGATATCCGTTAAGTTATTGGAACCATGCAGAGGGGATTGGAAAGGCCACTGCACCACCACAAGGATGACGTGCATAAATCGAGAGAAATGGTCCAAATTAGACCCCCCCAAAAAAAAAAAAAAAAGATTTAAAAATGGTTTCATGGCCCGACAGAAACCATTGTAATAATCCGCAACTTCTACAACACACTAGGCTGACCACACTGGAAATCTGTTTCACTTCGCAGCTGCGTACGCAGAGGGGAAAGAATCGAATCCACCCCTATCCCCAGCATTGTACCCTTGTCTCACCGGTAAACCGGTATCACGGGGGGTGGAGGTCGGACAGGTACAGGTCTGTTTTTCCTTGCGGGTGGGGGACCATTTCTCGATTTATATGCGTGTCATCCTTACTTGCGCAGGGGCGCCATGATAATCTTCTCTGTATCGTTCCAATAACTTTTAACGGATGTCCCGAAGGACAGCTACTGGCCTGTTGTTCACGTGAGAAAATAAAAGCATTCTAGAGGGCGTCGACTGTTGACCGGATCATGATCTTCGCAGTCAAAGATTCCCCCCCCCCAAAAAAAAAAAAAAAAAAAAAAGATACCCAGCCGCCTTTGCAGACAAACTTGGGCCCCGACAAGCCGAGGTCTCCAGAAATCCCAACCCCAGTGCAACAACAGCTTCAACAAGATAGGTTCAGCAACAATCGTGGTTTGAAACAAACACTGAAAGTCGCATTTTTCCCTCCAAAGAGAGGTACACGTGGCATTCACAAAGAGGGGACATGTGGCATTCACAAAGAAGGTACACGTGGCATTCACAAAGGGGGTACACGTGGCATTCACAAAGAGGGTATATGTGAAATTCACAAAGAGAGGACACGTGGCATTCACAAAGAGGGTACACGTGGCATTCACAAAGAGGGTATATGTGAAATTCACAGAGTGGTTACAAGGTCCTTTCACAGATGGACCGATGGACGAAAGCGAGTTGGGGTGGGATCAGACTGCCAAATTCATTTTAATTCACCTATGCAGCAGTTCTGTCCTTGGCACTGCAGTAGGCACGACCATAGCGCCTTACGAATGAGGTGGGGATGGAGTGAAAGGATCTCGGTCTACATAAATAAATGCATCTAATACAAGAACAGGCTCTCCTAGTATTATTGCACTAACTGAGAGGGGATACAGTCAGGAGGGAAGGGGGGCATGGAAGAGAGGAGGAGGACATATGGATGGGTATTATTGCGAGGAGGTGGGCATGTGGATGGGTGACTGCGCAGGGAGGCAGGGCATGGTGTATAGCCGGGTGAGCGGGCAGGCACAGATGGACAGACAGACACCAATACAAGCCACAGAAAGAGAGAGACAGAGAGAGAGAGAGAGAAGGAACTGCTTCACGTTGGGTGGTGGCAGAGACTCAAAAGATTGGTTAGGTAGATACCTTTTCCGTACTGCGGTGTTCCGTACAGCGGGCCATCTTGTTCTTACTGGTAGCATGGAGCTAGGATATGTAAGGAAGAACAAGAAGATGGCCCGTTGCAGCTTCGCTTGCAAGAAAAGAGGAGGGAATACCAACGAACGTTCTTTTTCTTTTTGGCCGCGGTAGGTAGTTCACCACCTGCCATATGTGGTGTTCCATGGGAGGAGAAAAGTTATTTTCCTTGTGCTGTTGTGAAAAACTCAGCACTTTTCTGAGTAAATGATTTCCTATTGATCTGCTTGCTGAGAATTCCAATCCCCAGTCTGTCTGTTTGCTGTGTTTTCTAAGTATCTATGTGATCAGCCAATGTTGGACTATGCCGTGGTTGCCTTCTCTCTCTCTCTCTCTCTCTCTCTCTCTCTCTCTCTCTCTCTCTCTCTCTCTCTCTCTCCATTTTGCACAATAGAGATCCGCAC